TAAAGAATATAGATTTCCTCTTATATAAAATATTACAATTGTTCCAAATTAAAAAATTGTGTGGCGAGAAATTGTGCTTATAAATAAGTTTCCAAGCCTGAAGCATTTGCTGATGAAAATTGGAAAGTTTGATAGGCAGTTTAGTAATTGAGAAATTACACATTAATAAAAAGTCAATGCCTCCTAATTGAGAAAAAATATAATTAGGAATTACATTCCAAATAGAAGATTGATTGTGGAGAAAGCGTTTAAGCCAATTTATTTTTAAGGTATTATTAAGAGAATCAAAATCTATGAAGTTTAAGCCGCCCTTATTATAGGAATTTAAAATAACTGATTTTCTAACATAGTGCGTTTTATTCTTCCAAAGAAATTTAAACAGCATTACATCAATCAATTTACAGGTCGGTTTATCTACAAATAAAGAATGAGCCGCATAGGATAACCTAGAGATGCCTTCAGCTTTTGTAAGTAAAGTCCTACCTTTTAAAGATAAATCTCTTAGTAACCAAACATTAAATTTTTTTTTAGTTTTTTCTAATATAGGGTCAAAGTTTTCCTTACATCTTAGTTTTATGTCTTTTATTATTCTAATTCCTAAATATTTTACATTCTCTTTGACAGGAATATTATAAATAGAGGTGGCAACACATTTTTTAATCGGAAGCAACTCACACTTATCAATATTAAGCTGAAGGCCAGAAGCATTAGTAAAAAACTGAAGAGACTTTAAAGCAATTGGGATCTGAGAGACATCTTTTAAAAACAACGCAGTATCATCAGCTAACTGGCTGATTATTAATTCTGTTCCAGCGACAGAAATTCCTTTAAGAGGACTTTCTTTAATATGTAAACTTAAAAATTGTGTAGCAATTAAGAACAGATATGGGGAAATGGGGCATCCTTGTCTTACACCACGCTTTAAATCAAATCTGGGAGAAGTGCCATTATAAAGCCGAATAGAACTATTTCCATTATTATAAAACATTTTAATACAATTACAGAAAAAACTACCAAAACCAAGTTTATGCAGGGCCTGTAATATAAAATCATGTTCTAGGCAATCAAATGCTTTATAATAATCCAAAAAAAGAATAAAACTGTCAGTAGAAATAAGATCTGAATAATCCAATAAATCTAAAATCAAGCGGATATTATTAGATATATGTCTCTGGGGTATAAAACCTGATTGGCACTCATCTATTATACTATTTAGAATAGATTTTAATCTTTTTGCTAAGACTAGGGCAATAATTTTATAGTCAGTGTTCAATAAGGAGATTGGACGCCAGTTTTCTATTAAAAGGGGGTCTCTATTGAACTTGGGTATTAGAGTTATTAGACCCTGACATAAAGTAGGAGGGAGCATTAAATTCTCAATACTTTCTAAAAACATTTTGTGTAAAAAAGGAGTCAGTTTTTTTTTAAATAATTTATAAATTTCTGCAGACAACCCATCAGTTCCAGGGGATTTATTATATTTAAGATGATCAATTGTCTCAGCAATTTCAGTAAGACTAATAGGTGCATCACACAGAAGACTCTCTTCAGAACTGATTTTATTTATGTTGGATAACGAATCAAAAAAATGTGTGGCGGATGCCTGACAAAATTTAGAAGAGTATAAATCTTTATAAAATCTGGCACAAAATTCTGCAATTGTTTTGAGGTCCTCAGATATATTCCCGTCAATACGTAGTTTTTGAATAGAATATTTAACTCGCTGCCTTTCTAGCCTAAAAAAATATGCAGAGTTCTGCTCACCCTCTTCTAGCCATTTTCGACGAGACCTTATGAAGGCACCTTCAGCTTTTTGTTTATATATATCTTCTAAAAGATGTTTCTGATCTATAAATTCAGATCTCTCTGTGTCGGTAAGATCCTCTATATTTTTATGTGATAATACAGATATTCTAGCCATAATTTGATCTTCATTTTTTTTTCGAGTTTTTGCTAATAGACTACAATAATTTCTACAGTATTTACCAATTTCAAATTTAAGAAGTTCCCAATTGCTACAAAATAAATTTTCTCTATTAGCTTTATCCCAATAAGAAGAAATTAAATAATCAATTTTAGTTTGAACTTCATTGTGTTTTAAAATTGAATTATTAAGTTTCCAGTATGAGGATCTTTTATGTGGGGGAGTAGAGGATATTGGTACATAGATAATAATGGCTTTATGATCAGAAAATAAAGAGGGAATAATATCCGTTTTTATGTTTGATAATTCAGCCGAAGTTAACCAATAGTCAAGACGGGATTGATTAGAAAGTGAGTTATTGTTCCAAGTGAAAACTTTTTGTAAAGGATGAGTTTCTCGCCACACATCAACAACAGAAAACTTTTGTACAAAAGAAAATAAATAATCATTATTAATACAGGTGGGATGGGGGGGCCATCTATCTAATGTGTTATTAAACACAACATTAAAGTCACCACCAATAATTAAATAAGAGTTTGGATATTTAGTTAACATTTTAGATAATTGAGTTTCTAATTTACTAAAAAAAAACTTATTATCTTTTGGAGAATTATAACCATAAATATTGGCAATAACATATGTTAGGTTAGCAAACTGTAAAGCTAGTAAAATGAAATGACCATTAATATCACAATCACTAGCCAAAATGTTTCCACTAAAATTATTTTTTAAAATACAAACTCCGGCAGAATGTTCATTTCCATGGGACACCCAAATTTCTGACCCCCATTGTGATCTCCATAAATTAACTTCTTGTACGGTTGAATGAGATTCTTGAAGAAAGCAAAAATCTGTTTTAAAACGTTTAAGAAATAAAAAAACTGCTTTTCGCTTAAGAATGTTGCGTAGCCCTCTACAATTTAAAGAGACAATAGACAAGGACATAAAAAGAAACAGGAAGGATAAGAAAAAACACTGGAAACAGGAACAAGACCTAAAAATTACTACAAAGTGAGAATATCACTATAATGGAAAACCAAATGGTCAAACCCTAAATCGGAAGGGATGAGGACAACAATCCCTTTATAATTAGTTTGAACTGAACTTTTGAAGTATGAGAAAATCAGGTATCTTCGAGGTGGAGAAAAAGAGAAAAAAAAATGTTTTATGCTGCAGTCCATACTATAGCACCGCCAAAAGGCAATGATGATGGATCATATCAAGTCCAAACTTTAGATTTTATGTAGGAGGAAAAATCTCTGTACCATCCACAAAAGCGCGTCCGCCCACGAAGAACGCTCGCTTGTTCTCTTTTCGAGCTTTTTCAATTATTGGCCACAGCTTCAATCTTCTTGCTCGATCAGCTGGTGACAAGTCCTCCGTGATTTTCAAACGATTTTTTGTCAGAAAGTCAGCATCCTTTGCAGCACGCCAAACTGCATCTCGGTAAAAGCGCGATGTAAATCGGAAGAGAATACCACGGCCCATGCTGTGTGGGTGAACACTAATGTATGTTAAATCGCGCGAGAGGTTGAGCCGCACAAGAGCAGTAAAAGAGCCGCAAGCGGCTCGCGAGCCGCGGGTTCGCCACCCCTGGTATATCGTCTTGTGTTATGCTTGAACAACTAAATGGATGCTTAAGTTTATTTAACTGATTGTATTTTAATTATATTATGATATCGATGGTGTAGGAACCTTATAAAATTTAAAATAGTCACATTAACCTTTCACTGGAGGTTTACAGTTGGCTGAAAAAACACTAGCTGTGCATATACTGTAGCCCATTAGCCTACATAAATCAGAATAACAGTAAACAAAAAAATATAATTACCATCAAATTAATCAATTTCAAAGGAACTAGTAGCCTAAAAGTGCGATAACAATAAAGTTGCTCTTAATACGTTGTATTTATAATTATCATTAATATCCACGAATAGGCACAGTAAAATATAGTAGACCTACGTTACTTAGTCAGCATGCTCATCTCGTCAGCACGCTTTTTCAGGAGTTTTCACGCCTTTTCTTTTAAAAAACGCGTCGGTCAATTACATTAGTAATACACGTTATCCAAAAAAAAAAAAAACTTAAAAGTTAAGTTCAATTTTCTACTTACTTTATTTCTGTTCGTTTATGATGAGAAACACAGGCGCGCAAAATTCAGTCAGTGACCACGCGCACTCACCAAACTCAAGGTTTTCTCGGCGCTCACTAATTGCCTCTTCTAATTGGCTACTGCATTCATAATCTGCACGGAAACGTATGTGATTGGTTTGTAATGCAATGTGCACATATTAGAATGTAATGGTGGGATTCATATCATCATGTTTTCAAATGCGAAAATGCAAATAGTGTCGTTTATTTGTCCAGGGGCTTTATACAACTTTATTTTAAATTTGGGCGGCATTTCTTTGTTAATTTTGTTGTTTTTCCCCTCAAACATTATCTTGCACAACAAACAGGTTTGTTGATTAAAAGTTTTTTGTCAATCTATTTATGAATGACGAGTATAAAAATGCTGAATGAATAGACTTTCAATGGAGGGACAGAAGTCACTCAGATTTCTTCATGCTCTTGTATTTCTAAGTCAGAAGACGTCTTATTTTAAAGGCGAGTAAATGATAGCAGAACTTCCATTTTGGGGTTTAATTAACATCTTCAACTCAGTGGATTGTGGAGACATTTTATAAAGATAAAGACTGTTATTGAATTGCATAGTTACTAATGAATGATAGAAATAGATATGTACAGGAAATAAGTTACAATATATCTTTTGTTCTCAGATAGGCACATTTGTTTTAGTTTTTTTTATAACTGTTTTGCCTTTTGTTCTATAATTTTCAGTGGCATGAGCATGGCTTTATAAGCCATTTTGTGTTGCACGTTTCTGGTTGTCTTTTTTACTGGTTTGAGACTTTGCAAAAGCTCAACTACACAGCTGCATGTGCAGAACGTACAGTACACAATATACATTAAGCACTGGATCTGCATTTTAACAGCAAATGCTGTAAACCTGGTTCAACAAAGCTGGACTATCAAAGTGAGCATTGCCAGGGTGTGTGATTTAATAAATGTTCCCTTTTTTCTTTTAAATGCTGTTGACTTAAGCATTCTTTTATTATTTTATTAATCACATTTTCCCACACTACTTCTAGGGAGTCAGTCACAATAAACATCCAAGCACAAATCATTTACAATCATGTCGCTTTAAAGAAATAATGTCCATGAAGGAATAAAAAATAAATACAAACACTAGAATTGTGGAAAAACTAGACAGTCATATGAATAATGTATAGTCTGGTGTGTGTGTGTGTGTAATTTATTTTACTAATAAATGTGATCTTTTAGATAAAATTTTTAGATCAAGATTGATTTGTTAAGCTGCAGGGTTTTGATTCGGAAGAAAACAAGAAACTAAAACAGTTGTATGGTGAAACAAGTTAACAACAACAAAAACTGGAAATATTTAATAATATTAGTCACTATTAGGGCTCTCCAAGATCTCCTTCCATAGTCCGGACCAGAACATAGAGCTCAGCAAGGCCGACAACAGATGCTGCAATAACGGCAGCTATTACTCTCTGAAATAAAAAAAAACAATACAGAGACATTATGCGTATTTTAGAATAGGTATTTAAAACACTTCTTGACTATGCAGTGATTTAAATGTGAACTTACTGCTGTCGTCTCAGTGAAGATATACTGGCTGCCCAGATATGAACAGGCAAATGCTGCAATTACAGTTACCAGGAAGTTGAATACAGTAACAACAACAGCCTTCACGGAGCGTACTGCAAACCACAAATGACAAGTAAGATGAACAACAACACAGAGGAAACAGATTACTAATAAGCAAAGAAAGGGGAACATCCTGACCTTGTCTTCCAAAGTCTGCTAAAGTTCCATGTTGATTCATTTCCTGTTGAGTAAAACAGCATATTAAGAAATCTACTGACAGAATGAAAAATGTTAAGGATATATTTGGCTGTAGACGAATGCTCACCTGTGGATTTACGTTCCGTGTTATTCTCTTATATTCTTCATTGGCCAGTTTTGCTTTAATTTTTTCGAGACGGGCCACCAGCTGAGGGTTCTATTGGATTGAAATAAATATCTTTTTAATCACAACTTGGGGTAATGCACAAACAAGCTAGATGTTTTAAACATGCTTTAGCTGCTTATTAACAGTTATTAAGGTAATAGTTAGGTTTTGGCATTTGGTAGGATTAGGATTATATGTCCAATAAATGATTATTTCCAATTTTTTGTCCAGTAATGGTTACTTTTCACAAAGTAGTGCCAAAATTTTAAATGTAGTCATTATTTACTCTCCTTTTATTGTTTAAACATCTATAGGAGTTCCTTTCTTCTATTGAACAGAAAGGAAGATACTTTGAGGAAAGCTGAAAACCTGTAACCATTGACTTTCATTGTAGGAATAACAAATACTATTGAAGTCAAAGCTTACAACTCTCTTAAAAAATCAATTTTTATATTCACCAGAAGAAACTCAAACTGTTAGTAAATGATGGCAATTTTCATTTCTATCACTTTAAGTTACTAGTATCTTTATAAAATGTACATTACTAATATTCTTTATGAGATATTACACTGTAAAAAAAAAAATCTTGCTGCCGATTTTTAGTTGAATCAACTGATCTGAATCAAAACTTACATCAGTAAACTGACTAAAACAATTTTGGGGAACACTTTAGTTTAAGTGTCAATTCACACCATTTACTACTGGCTTATTACCTGCTTATTATTAAAATATTAACTGTTTATTAGCAAATATAAAGTATGATCTTGTTAGACATCCCTAATCCTACCCAATACCTAAACCTAACTATTACCTTAATGACTATTAATAAACAGCTAATTGGTAGTTTATTGAGCTGAACGTCTTAGTTAATGGATTATTAATAGCATGAATTGTACATTAAAGTGTTCAACTTGGTATAACTAAAATATTTGTTGAAATCTGATTAAAATTAGTTTAAAAAGGTAACAAAATAGTTGTTGTCATGACTTTTTGTCATAATTTGTTTACAGTGTAGCACCGATTAATGTATATTAATACTAAATCATTATATACTACTACTTATTAATAATTATTAATAATTAATTTCACATTTCCGCCATTGACCTCTATGGAGATCTGTCATTGAGATATCTACTCTTCATTTTAGACTAGTATGTTACTAATTTTTATGTTCAGGAAGTTCATTGGGAACTAGGAACTTTTAAAACAAAATTTTTACACATTAAATACTAGTACTTAATCATTACTAGATACTCTTTTACAACGTACATAGATGCCAAATCTTTATTTATTAAATACAAGTATTTATTCATTAGACTTTAGTACTTATTCATTAGTAACTCAATTCAGCAAGTACTAGTACACACTTATTATATGCTATTACTTATTTCAAATATTCACTAATAACTTTTAATTGAACTGTACAGCGGCCGTTTTTGACTAGTCATGACAGAATATGAGTTTAAAAAGTAACAACCAGTAAGATACGAATTGTTTAGCAGAATTAATTACAAAAAATACTGGTGTCTAGTATAGAATATGTGAAACAGTAAGTTAGTATCTAATAAATAACTTAAATATTCTAGTATTCATTTAATACCAATAACACTTAATGTATAAAAACCCACATGTAACGAAGTTCTCATATGTAAAGAACAAGCACTAGAAGCATGAAAATAGATACTAGTACTTTTTGTAGGTTAAATGTCTAAATGGCTTGCCATGGTTGATGCTACATGTGACGTTCGTAATGGGCCTATATTAAAGTTAGTGTATATCATTGCAAAATCCTAGTTAAAACAAGAAGAAGAAGAAGAATTGCAAAATCCACACTTACTCTTGGAGGTGTGATGACTTCTGGAAGATGAAGGGTGCTGTCTTCAAACAGCTCGTGAAGATGCACTGGGTGTCCTACAAACACATCATACTCAACGAAGTTCGTTTTTGCTTAAAGTGCTTAAAATTTTGGATTTGTCAATGAAATTTTAGTTTCTTACCATTGTCCTGAAGAAGCTTGTGTAGTTTCCTCACAGTCTTGAAGGGTATGATGGACTGATCTTTGAAAGTCTTCAACTCCTCTTTCAGCTCCTCCGATATGGCAGATTTGCTTTCCAGTAAATCTCTCAACCTCTCCTTAAATCTTTCTCCGATTTTAAACGAAGAAGCCATGATGAAAATAAAAACGCCTGTTTAAGTTCCGCACACGTTAATGTGCATGTATTTTTATATTTGCGAGTTGTGGGGACACCAAGACGAAAAGAAAGTTCCCCGATTAACTTATAAAAAGGCTAAACACTGAAGCTTAAATCAACTTAACGTCACAGTTGATGTTGAGTGTTATCTCTGTTTAAGTGTAACCGTTTATCTTGAATTGAGAATGTTGTGTATTTTCAGTCCTGCCTGTCAGCTGATTTCTTGTTTTACTTCAGTGTTTATTGGATGGTTGCAGAACAGACAAGCTGTGCGCATACCGCCACCCACTGTCAGGGAGTTTATTTACCGTTTTACAGCAATGTAGAATCATATGTATATTTGTTTTTTTTAATTATTGACATGCCTAGATATGTATCCACAAAGGTAACGTGTTATAAATCACCACAAACTCTCATCTTAATAACGATATTTCTTTCTTTCTTTCTTTCTTTCTTTCTTTCCTTTCTTTTCTTATTATAAATTCGTTTTTATTCACATGCTAACTTATAATGTTACTGTTAAAAATTGGCTTACCACCCGAACACTTCATTTATGTAAATGAAATTTCTACAATAAAATCATTAATTGAATATCATAAGTTTTATTCCTCCCTATATCGTAATCATTCTGATATATCACAAATAAATGTTGCTATGACCTTTGTGTTGTAACTTATGCCGACAACTTCCGGTCGCGGTGCGTTATGGGAAATTGTGTGCGACTTTGTACACTTCAATATTGCAATAAAAGGGTCAAAACTCATTTAAGTGTAATTTCAAACTTTAGTTTTTCAATCTTTCTGAATTGTGTGGGTTTAGAATATGATTTTGGGTTTTGAAAACAAATGATACTGACTGCACCCGTGTGTTCATGTGCCGATAGCTGAAGGAAGATGGCAGCGTGTGCAATACGTCGGGGCTTATTGTCCACTGCAAGTAAATATAACCAGCACAAATGCACTCACAGAATATTAAGTGCGATAGACTTCAACAGCGGGTTAGATCCGAAAAGACCCCAGTCGCTGTGTTCATCTTGCGGCTCGTCCAGTTTTCAACAGACGAGGTTCATGTCATCTCGGTAAGAACTATTAAAGCGAACGTCCTAGCATGTCCTCCTGTTACATAACTGCGCAGAGCTGTACTTTCAGCTATCTATTTCCACCGTAAATGTCTTCATAATATATCTGTCAGATGCATTCGTGTTGAATAGTAATGAAATGTCAGTTGTCATTTGTGTAATGTAAGCTGTTCCTGTAGTTTGAAGGCTTCACATGCTTGCAGCACAACTGCCATATTGTCTCAGTGACTGTGGCTGAACACTAAACAGTGAAGTTGTTTTTTGCTAAGTTTCTGAAATTTAAATGTGCTGATCACACGGGTTTTGAGTAGAATTATACAAAGGCATCATAATTGAATTAATGCCAATATACAAAATTGAGGCCTACAAACCTCAGCTTTTCTTCCAAACCCCCCAAAGCCATTCTTGATTACATAAGTGTCAGTCTGGGCCGGAGCCAGTAGACGGTAAACAAGTTCTATTTCTGTGGTCAGCACACCTCTGTCTGTTTAGTTTAGTGCACTACAAAAATTTCAAGTTCAATGTGGTCTTGGTCCCAATCTCCTGAATGTTGTGCAATAGCCTATTCAGTCTTGTTGAAAACCCATTCAATCTTTTGTTGAAAAGCTGACTAGGTTGTAGAATTTATTTTCAATTTATGTTTGTATGTATGTATGTATGTATTTACCTGACAGAAACAGACCAGAGGGGAAAATACTGGAAGCTGTTGGAGTATTTGAAGCCCTGAAGCAGCATGGAAAATATGAAACAGGACAGGTCAGTTGTCTTTTTAATTATGAAAACTCATTTTGAGTACTCTGTAGTATTATTTTTATTATTCTAAGACTGAAATTTAGATTTTAAAGTTTACTTTAATGCTAAAACTAATAGGAACTTTAAGAAGAAGCAGCTACTAATGGAATGGCAATGGCATTCCGGTGGGGGAAAAAGTTGTATTGCACATGCTGGACTTGCACTGCTGCTTTGTGATGTTCTATAACTGTCTATTACTACAGAATTGGCTAGCACATTTAGGGAACAAATTAGTGTTGATTTATGGTATGAGGTTTTATGATGGTAAATAATTATTCAATGCAAATGATGTTTGGGATCCAAACTTTATATTGTTGCAGATAGCAGTTTATTACCATTCACCATTTATGTTGGCATTGTTTAAAAACAAATTAATTTAAAACCTGTTTCTGAAAGTTGCATTTCTCAAGCTCCCATAATGCTGTTTTTTTGTGTAAATGATATGCCAGAACGTATATGTCTGTTTTAGTTAAAAATTTGTCTTGTAAACACTTCATTGATGAATGGAAGGCAGGTGTGTCCTAAAGTCTTTTCCTGAGAAATGTTCCTGAAAATGTGAGCCGAAAAAAACTATTTGTCCCGCTGTAGTCACTGTGCGAAGTGACTTTAACAGCAGACATGAAAAGCACTGCACTGCACCATGAATCCCTGTAATTTCAATGGCGTGCCTCACGCAAGCCGGTTTGTTGCTGTGCCACCCAAACTAAAAGCAGCGAATCTCACTGTTGACTAGCTTATGCTGTCTCACTCAATATTTCCTCAAAATATATTAAAATTTCTAAAATATGCAAAGTGTGTTAATACTTTTGGGCGACTGTATTTTTTTCTGTCTGATTTTTGTCACTGTTGATAAAATGTAGTTATTTTATTGGTTTGAGTTTTTTTTTGTTAGAATATTGAGTTAAATTGTACTAAATTACTTTATAAAATTAAATAAAATTCCGAATCATTTTTCGATTTTTGTTTTTGGCCAAGTGCATCCAGAATTTTCACTTGAGTGCATCCTTTTAAAAAAAGTGCAATTTGATTGTGTCAGCAGCACACACAGTATGACAGTTAACAAGACAATGAAACTGCTCTAAATGAGACTACATTTCCGTATGTGACCATATAAGATATACAAGCTTCATTTTCATTTTAGATGTATATCATAATGATATTATGTTAAATGTTTGTAAGCATCCAACACCATATTGACTTGCATAAACGTTGGTGTCTTAAACTGTATTTCTTCACATACTAAAGAAACACATTCATAGTTTCTGCCTTGACATAGTCTTCTTATGTCAGATCATAGTCTGTCTCATAGTCAGATATTGTTTCGATTGCCATCCATATTAGTGTGCTAAATCTTACCCTGGCAACACCCTTGCCACCACCACAAATACATTAGCAATATAGCTTATAGTAGACTGTATATCCTTCAAAACCTTAAATCATAATTCTTTTAAAATGACTTCTATCTCAAGCCTCCATCTGGCTTTGTGGACAAACTTTACTCATCCAGTTGTAATTTTCCGCAGCTCTTCCTGCACAGTGTTTTTGGATATAGAGGAATTGTGTTATTCCCGTGGCACGCTCGTCTTTATGATCGCGATGTGAGTCCTGCTACCACCGACAGGTATGTAGTGGAGGGTCGTCTTTTAGGCCTATGCATGATTAAATGCTTTGGTTTGTGTTTCAGCTCATTGATCCTGTTTGTCCTGTGCTTTTTTTTTCTTCAGTAAGCCAGACTCTACAGGTCATGGATCCAAAGAGGTGAAGGGTAAAATGCACACATACTACCAGGTCCTCATAGACACCAGAGACTGTCCTCACATAGTAAGTACCAGCAGCATTACATTTGCTCCAATTATATGTAGTCTAATTACATGTAGATTTTGATATACTGGATTGCTGGTAAAAAATATACATATTTAAATGAATGCTGAAAGCCGTTGGCTGTTATTTTTTAGCATACACTCACCGGCCTCATTATTAGGTACATCTGTCCAACTGCTCGTTAATGCATACTTCTAATCAGCCAATCACATGGCAGCAACTCAATGCATTGAGACGATCTGCTTCAGTTTAAACCGAGCATCAGAATGGGGAAGAAAGGAGATTTAAGTCACTTTAAACGTGGCATGGTTGTTGGTGCCAGACAGCTGGTCTGAGTATTTCAGAAACTGCTGATCTTCTGGGATTTTCACGCACAAACATCTCTAGGGTTAACAGAGAATGGTCCAAAAAAGAGAAAATCCAGTGAGCGGCAGTTCTGTGGGCGCAAATGCCTTGTTGATGCCAGAAGTCAGAGGAGAATGGCCAGACTGGTTCCAACTGATAGAAAGGTGACAGTAACTCAAATAACCACTCGTTGCAACCGATGCAGAAGAGCATTTCTGAACGCACAGCACGTCCAACCTTGAGGTGTATGGGCTACAGCAGCAGAAGACCACATCAGGTGCCACTCCTGTCAGCTAAGAACAGTGAAACTGAGGCTACAATTGGCACATACTCACCAAAATTGGACAATAGAAGATTGGAAAAACGTTGTCTGGTCTGATGAGTCTCAATTTCTTCTGCAACATTCTGATGGTTGGGTTAGAATTTGCCATAACATGAAAGCATGGATACATCCTGTCTTGAATCAATGGGTCAGGGTGGTGGTGTAATGGTGTGGGGGATATTTTCTTGGTACACTTTGGGCCCATTAGAACCAATTGAGGATTGTGTCAATGCCACAGCCTACCTGAGTATTGTTTGCTGACCATGTTCAACCCTTTATGACCACAGTGTACCCATCTTCTGATGGCTACTTCCAGCAGGATAACATGCCATGTCACAAAGCATGAATCATCTCAGACTGGTTTCTTGAACATGACAATGAGTTCACTGTACTTAAATGGCCTCCACAGTCACCAGAGCCTAATCCAATAGAGCACCTTTGGGATGTGGAGGAGCGGGAGATTGGCTTCATGGATGTGCAGCCGACAAATCTGCAGCAACTGTGTGATGCTATCATGTCAATATGGACCAAAATCTCTCAGGAATAATACCAGTACCTTGTTGAATCTACGCCATGAAGGATTAAGGCAGTTCTGAAGGCAAAAGGGGGTTTAAACTGTTACTAGTAAAGTGTACCTAATAAAGTGGCCAGGGAATGTATTTAATACAATGTTTGTGAATGTAAGTTTTCATTTCTTAAAAAAAAATGTTGAACAAACTTTTAAACTTGCATAAAGTTCTTCCTGAATACTTGACTTGCTGATATAAGCAATAATAAGGTCAATGTCAACTTGTTTTGACAAATTTATCTTTTTGATTTTTTCTTTGTCACTAATAGTCCCAGCGTTCTCA